AAAATAAAAGCATAACTTCTCTGGCAGAGACTGAAAGTAGTGCAAGGCTGTAATCCTGGACTCCCAACACAACCCTAAATTCCTGACAGCAACTTGCAGTACATTTTTCTCTGATCTGGAGCAGACTAGGTATACACAACTCTCTCAGAGCAGCAGTAGCAGCAGGTCATGTTATGTGGCCACAGCCCAACACCCCAGAGAAATGCTAAATATTTATCCTGCTTCTTTCTAATGAAAAAAAAAAAAAAAAAAGAACAGGATATGTACTTGTAGCACACTATTTGCTTGCATATGAAAAAGCAAGTCTCACAACAGAAGATACTGCCAAGGGGAATTAGCAGTCTCTTAGTAATGCCTATAATACAGCACTGTACATACAGGGACATGAACAGGCAATAACCACACCCTGTATCAGACTAATAATCACATGAAAGAAACATCCAGTTGGCAGGAATTGCGATGACAGAGCCCACTTACTCTTAATTTTCCTCTGCTTAAGATATTGGTCAGATACTGTTTAGCTTCACTCAGTTTTGGTTCATTTTTCTCTGTCAGTGGAATGGAGTCCTTCAGTTTGGCAAAGTTTTCCTTCAAACATTCTTCCAGCAGAACCTCCGCTAGCAGCATACTCCCATGGTCCTCTGAAAGCACACACCAACCAACAAGAAACATCGCTTAGTGCTGATGATAAACAGAATTACAAAAAAAACCAATGCACCTTTGAGACATAAAGAGCAACTCAAATGAGGGGATAAGGAAGAAATGGCAGACAAAAAAATTCCATTAACTTCTGTCTATTGGAAACAGTATGTTTCCTAAGAAAAAAAAAAAATCAAACTACACTTCCTGGTAACTTGAAGATTTTCCCCTAATGAATCCTTTCATTTTAGTAGCACCATTCATTCTTGCATTGCCACTAATATAACAGTTCAGAATTTTCATCACAAAACTCACTTTCAAAAGTATAAGACCAATCTTTGCAAACATGTCAGTGCATGCTTTAGATTTACAAATGCACAAGCATGAAATGAATGCTTCGGCCTACATGGAAGCTATGAATTTCACTGCAGAACAGTAACAAATTTACCTCAAAGCTCACAGAAAAAAGACAATTTAGACACTAAAGACACACAAGGCTTGATTCTCTGCCACAACTAACGTGCCACGTTCTTTCTACATTAAAATCCATTCCTGTTCACAGTTCTACAGAAGAGAAACTCAAACACAAGTAGCAGCGCTGGATACAGTGTGAAGCATCATGCAATATGGCAATCGTGCTGAAAAGAAAAAAGTTTCATCTGTCACAGTACTTGTGATTTCTCGCATGATGGGCCCAGTTCTGCAGTTCACTTATTCATACAAGTAGTACCTCAATCAGTGGACTACTGGGTCAAGCAGGGTAAGAAGATCTTTCTATATGAAAGAGCCAAGCCCTACATCTCATATATACTCGATGTCTCAAAGTCTGAAATTCCAGAATGCAGGAAAAAAATACAGTGTACCTATTTCTATATTTTCAGGCCACGGGACAATTTATCCCCACTTTCCACTTATACACTACATACAGCATTAATAATCAACTCTGTGTGTGGGAATGGTGGTGGTTTAGATTTTTTTGTTGTTGTAGCCTGCATAATAAATTATAACGATAGCTCTTCCTGCTCATTTGCAAGTCTGCAACTAACTCGCACAAACAAAGTATAGGTACCTAAAATGGAAAGCATAAATGTGCAAGTATATTCCACTCTAAACTTGCATGAAATAATTTCTACACACTAAAGACCTTTCATACAGTCGTTAATCTCTTAAACTCAAGGAAATAGGTAAGACAGTTAAGAAATAAATACACACAATCTCACAAAGCAAATACTACTATTTAAAAAACCTAATCCAAGCAGACAATGGTTTCTAGAAGCACAAAACTGTACCCAGTCCCCTGCTGAAAGAAAAGTTCTGCAGCAATAACAAATCATTACTCTTTCATAACTAACAAGTTATGATGACATAGCAGCAAATTAACAAATCCTGTTTTTACAGCAATTATACTGTTGTTATGCCTCTTAATTACAAGTGAAGAAACTACTATGAACTCTTCAACTATTAATGCCCCCAAACTGCAGGGAGATCTCTGCACCTGGGAAGCGCTGCTGAAATGCGACTGAAGTTCAAAGGTTGGCCCTGTGGTTATCAGCACAGGGTTCATCCTGCATCATGTACCCACTCGGAAAGCCTTACAAATAAACATATCTTAAGCTACCAACATCTCCCCCACCATGCTTCCCCCTGTGAAGTTTAAGGCACCCCTGGCAAGCTTCAATTAACTCTAGGACCACATCCCAGAAACACTCCTCTACAGAAGGGTTTTATTCAGAGATGTAGCTCCTCTGACTTCAGCGGCAGAACCCTTTGTACCAGTGCCGTGGGTAGGACCAGGTCCTTTTGGCAACTTACTTGCTGACCACAGACACAGATTTTTATATTTCCAAGTTAGGCTGCCTCACTTATTGCTAGCGATTTCATTTTTAGAAAGCAGCAAAGTAGTGTGCTGTAACAAATAAAAAAAAAAAGCAAAACAAAACATAAAAACATTTGCTATTTATGAAACCTGTTCTACATGTGAAAGGGTACTTGGACGAGCCCAAGCCTTTTAAATAAAGCGGTGCCCTTCAGAAATGGAGGGAGGTAACACAAGGGCATCCAGAAGAGGGTTGGGCAGGGGGCAAGAGGGAACGAGCACAACACGTATGGAGAAGCTGCAGACGGACATTTCCAAACCGGGCAAGTTTTGGTGGGTGGCCCAGGCGGGCTGGTTGCACCAAGGGCCGGCTCGGAGCGGGGCAGCCGCCACCTGCGCCGGGTGCTGACCGCCGGCATCCCGAGCGCTCGACAGCCGCTCCTCGCCGCCCGACGGGCTCGGCAGCGCTGACACGTAGAGGAAGCGCGATGGGATCTCCCCGAGCGCCGCTTCCTGGGCTCCCGCCGCCTCTCCCCGGCATCCCTCCTTCTCTCCCGCTGCGAAGCCGGGACGCTGACACGGGACACCGGGCGACACCCCGCACCTCAGTGCTCCCCAGCCCGCTCCCGCAACCCCGGGAGCTGCGGGGCAGCCGCAGCTCCCGCCCACGCCAACCTGCCGAGCCGGCGCTGCCGAGCCCGGGCGGCGGCACGGAGCGACCGTCCGGCCCCGCCGCCGCCCCGCGCCCGGGCGGGTCGGTACCGGCGGCCACCCCGCCTGCCCCCCGCCGCCGCTTACCCGCGTCCTGCGCGCCCCTCGCCGCCTTCGCCTTGCGCGGGGGCCGCGCCGGCAGCAGCTGCTGTGCGAGGAGCCAGAGCCGCCCCCAGAGCCCCTCCGCCCGGCACCGCTCGATCTCCGCCTCCAGCTTCACGTGCGAGTGCGAGCCCTTGGCCGCCATCTTAGCGCCGGTACGGACGCGCCCCGCCCCGGCCCGGCCCGGCCCGGCCCGCGGGGTGTCCCCGGCGGCAGCTCCCGGGAGGCGCCGGCGGGGCCGCGGATCCGCCAGGTGCCGGGGGGCGGGAGCAGGCGGGACAGCGCCCTGCCCGAGGGCTGCGGCCGGCTACGGCGCCTCCAACGCAGCCGCCGCTCCCTGACGCCCGGTGCGCGGAGCCGCGTCCAGCCGGGTGGGCGCTGTCCGGGGGTTGCGGTGGTGGCCCCGCGCCCCCTGCAATGCTCGAGCAGGGCCGGGGGTGCCGCTCACCCACCGCGGCCCGCGGGAGTCACCGAAATCCCGGGGCTGCCTGCCGGCTGCACCCCACGGCCACTGCCCCCTCCTGCAGCTTCGACACGGAACCCCAGAGTGGTGCAGGAACGAGCCGAAAGCCCGCCCGGCTGCCCGGGCCCGGGGTTTGCTCGGGGGTTGTAACCTCGGGAGACGTGGGGTGTTCGGTGCGAGCGGGAGCGCAGAGCACGCACAGTTTATAAACCACAGTGGGCACCGGTGACAGGGCCCAAGGGAGCAGCGGGGTGAAGAGCCGCAGTCGTTTATGGACGGGGCTGTCTGAGGGATGTGTGGGAAGTGCCTGGAGCAGGAATGGCCGAGGACAGCCCTAGGAGCAGGACACACTGCCCCACTCCCTCCCACCTGTGCTTAGGGTAGGGCATTGTCGGTGAGATCCCCGCAGTGCGCTCTTTGGAAGGGAGTTCTCTACATTGGGGGCCGGGGCGGCCGAGGCCCCGCAGCACCCGCACAGAATCCTATAATGGGTGAGGTTGGAAGACACCACAGTGGGACATCTGCTCCAGCCTCCCTGCTCAAGCAGCGTCATCCTAGAGCAGATGGCACAGGACTGCATCCAGGTAGTTCTTGAATATGTCCAGTGAGGCAAACACCACCTCTGTGGACAACCTGTTCCAGTGCTCGGCCACCCACAGAGAAAAGTAGTTTTTCCTCAGCTGAGGTTTTTCCTCAGTTTTATTCAGGTGAAACTTCCTGTGCATCAGTTTCTGTCCACTGGCTCTTGTGCTTTTGCTTAGTACCACCAAGAGCCTGGCTCCATCCTCCTTCCCTTTAGATAGTTAAAGACATCGATGGTGTCCCCTCTCAGTCGTTTTTTCTCAAGGTTGAACAGGCCCATCTCCATCAGCTTTTCCTGATGCTCCAGTCGGTTCATCATCTTGGTTGCCCTCTGCTGGACCTGCTCCAGGAGCTCCATGTCTCTGTGTACTGGGGAGCCCAGAACTGAGCCCAGAACTGAACCCAGAATTCCAGATGTGATCTTACTAGGGCTAAAAAGAGGGGCAGGATGAATTCACTTCACCGGCTGGCGATACTCTTCCCGATGCACCCGCGGACCCCGCTGGCTTTCCTGTCCCCCAGGACCGCCATGCCCTGCCCCGCGCACACGCGGTGGGCGGGGCCCGGCCGCACCTGCGCCGCCGCGAGGGCTCCACGTGGAGCTCCGCGAGCGGTGACGTCGCTCCGGGGGCGGGTCTGGGCAGCGCAGCCAATGGGAGAGGGCAGGGGCGGGGCGCGCGGCGGGTCAGGGGTGATCCCGGGATGGTGTCCCGGGAATGGTGTCTCTCCCGCGCCCGTCCCGGAGCCTGCGCCACGGCCCACACCCGCCCCACGGTGCGTAGCTTGGCGGCGGCGGCGCCTCTCCGCCCGCCCCGGCAGCCGGTACTGGAGGGCGGTGTGCTGGGGCCTGGGCGGGGGGTGCCGGGCCCGGCTCCGTCCCGATGCGGGGGGGGAGCTTTCCCGGGGGGTCCAGCCTGGTCGGGAGCCGGGGGTGAGAGGCGGCTGGCGGCCAGCGCCGTGCCGGGGAAACCGGGGGTCGCTTCAGCTGGGGCAGGAGCACAGAGAGGCCGAACTCCCCAGCCCGCTCCTGGGCTCCCCTCGGCCCATCTGGAGCGCTGTATCGTGTCACTTCTCCGTGAAGGGAGCATATGCGAGGCCGCATGACGTTTTCCAAGCCGTACATTCCTTAGGGCATGCAGTCTTAAAAGAGATACTAATTTGATGCGGCTGCTTCGATGCCGTAAGCGACCTTTGCTCCCGTGGCTGTGGGGCAGGTCTGCCTGAGCCTGGCGTGGTTGGTTGTCCAGACGGTGCATGAAAACACAGCCGCAGCTGAGGAGTGCGCATTTGCTGTGTGGAAAAAAACCCAGTCATTATCTGAAAATTACTGCATAATACTCCATGATTCCGTCAAATAGAGATCCTCATAGAAATCCTTAACTGGAGCTCCCTGTTTTTCTGCTCGCCAACGGCTTGACATGAAGCAAGTTCTTCTATTCTAAAACTCAGTGGGGTTGTTTCTAAGTACTTGGTAAATCTGCTGAAAGTAGATCACATTTTTCATCTGAGTGTTGGTTGTTTTTTTTTTTTTGGTGGATGTTTTCCTTTTTGTAGGAGATCACAATGGCCCAAAGGTTGTTTAGATCGCATTTGCTGTTCTGCTTTCTGGCTTCATTCTTCATCTCTGCCCTTGCTGAGGAACACGCAGGAGAGAGTCAACATGCAAATATTCGCCTCGATAAGAATTTGGTACAAGATAAAGAGTATGTGTTCCATGTTCTAAAAACGTAAACTTTACTTCTTAATGATTTTCTTATCTCTGAAGTCTTGTTACGTTGGACTTAAGCCTAGGGCACCCTGTTTCCTCGAAATGTTGTATGACTAGCTAAAACCAGATATGAGGCATGCTTGCTTGATAAATTTATAGAGATATGAGCCCTAGAAAGGTCTCTTTGGAACCTTTAGCCCTACTCGTACTATAAAGAATTTCTTACAGAATTCCTGCTTACCCAGATCCACGTACTTTAGACAAACGCATTCTTAACAGGTTGAGGGTTTTTTTCTTCTGTTTTTCTTCATACATGCAAATCAGTTCCAGCAGTAAACAAAACTCCCTAGAACGCTTCATGGTTGACTGGGAAAAGTCTTTCTCCAGCTCCTGTGCTTTGGAAGACAGCCAAAAGGAGATTTTGGGCGCTGCTTCTGTTGTTTTGATAACCTGCTAAGTAGGCCAGAAGAAACAGAAATAGCTATGTAAGGTGTTAGAGGTTACTACAGCACCTGTAACAAACAACCTTTGTGCCCCCTTCATCCTAAACTGCAGCTTTTAGTTGTCCAGGGTGCTTTTAGAAGAACAATATTCGATCAAACACTAAACTTGATGTAAACAGAACAGAGCATGCAATATTAACTGACTACAAATGTTGTAGATTTTGTTTGTCTTTGGGGTTTTTTTGTTTTTCTTAGGCACATCATGGAACACTTGGAAGGTGTCATTGAGAAACCAGAAACTGAGATGTCTCCACAAGAGTTGCAGCTCCATTACTTCAAAATGCACGATTATGACGGCAATAATTTGTTAGATGGGTTAGAGCTCGCTACTGCTATATCACATGTCCACAAAGAGGTAGGTGTGATTTTGCAAGGGCATGTGTGTTTGGAAACGGTCCTGACTCTAAAAGCAACTTACAACAGAACGGAACGGTTGCAACACATCCTCAGTGCAGTTAGAGTTTTGCCTGAAAATGAGCTATATTTCTTTCCCCCAGTGGTTCTAGTTGGAACTAACTACTAGCTTTATCACAGCTTTTCATGTCACATTGCAGTTTTCAAGAAGTCTCCACTGTAGTTTAAACTTTAGAATGAGGAAGGGCTGTAAAGTGAAAATTATTTTACAGAGAGCTTGCTTTGGTATGCAGGGATGGGGAGAAAGGCAAGTTATCCAAAGTGGGGCATGAGGATTTACAGAAATAGCATGTGATATGATGCTGTTTTCAGTTTCAGACTGTCACTGCTGTGGATACACAGACTGTAAGAAACCTCTTGAATAAAGTTAGTATTAGAAGAACCAGTTATGGTCTGCCTCTTTCTAAACAAATTCTCGTTGCAGCTATGAACATTTAAGGACAAAGTAGGAAGATACAGCCATTAGGAAGACAATATGAACACATTATCTCATACTGATCTTCTGGAAGTTACAATTCCGAGTAGCGTAACTTCCTGCATACACCTGCGGCAAAAAATACTGAGCCAAGAACAGAATAATGACTGGCTGTTTCTTGTGCAGAGGCACCTCTTTGTCTTTCCATTTCTTTGTAAAGAGTGTTTCTAAGAATTTTATTGGCTTTAAGCTACAGTGCTAGATTTTTTCACTACTCTGTTAATGTAAGATGTTTCTGTATTTTATAGAAACTATAGTGTCTATACTACATGAAGATCCAAATAAGAATACATCTCTTAGATGATTATCCATCATTACACATTGTGCTATTCAGCTTTTGGAACTTTTGACTAAGAATAATAACTGCAAAGAGAGTGCTTTTTCTGAAGTCCAGAAAACTTGGACTTCGTAGCTTCCACCTAAAAAAGTTGCTTATATTGATATAAATGTTTACATAAAACTTAGTGCCAAATTAGGCACCAAACACGAACAGCTTAATAAAAATTAGTTGTCAGTAATCTATGTGCCAATAGGTGGGAAAGACTACTAAACTGTTCAACGTGGTTTTGTTTTTGTAGGAAGGTGGTGAGAATACCCAAGCAATGAAAGAAGAAGAGCTGATTAATCTAATAGATGATGTCTTAAGAGATGATGATAAGAACAATGATGGATACATTGACTATGCAGAATTTGCAAAATCACTGGAATAAGGTTTTGCAGGATGTTTGTTTCTCCTTCTAACCACGTGGAAATGTGAACCAGTATAATGTGATTCTTTACTGTCTCATATCAACCTCTGTGCTGTGAGAAGGAGAGGTGTACCAGTTCCAGCTGAATTTATTTAAAAGTTGTATGTGTTAAGAGACTGGTTAACCTGGAGTGAGAGCCATGTTTGACTAAACACAGCTACACATTTGAATCATGAAGCATGGGAGAGTCAACAGTACTCACATAGGTTACAGCTGGTAAACTCCTAAGTAGCTCTGTATGAATTCTAAATAGAATCATTAGCATCTAAATTTCAAGTTTTCAGTCATTGGGTTATATAGTACTTATTTGCTTACATCTTCTTCCATTTAAAATTATAAAATAGCTAGAAAGCAAGAAATGATTACTGCATATAATTGTACTCAGAGGATAAATGTCCTTACCTTCCTTCTGATTTACAAGGAAATTTGCAGATAAGTACAGGTGCTTGAAACAGCAGTTGCAGGGGGAAAGCATTTGAATGTGTGTTACATTTGAGTTCCAAATGATACCGTATAAACTTAAACAGTCTTCGAAGAAACTGAGTATTTTTAAATATATATACTTCATAGCATACCCTCACATATAAATATATATACATGTGTTTTTCAATGTCTTGTCCTCCACAAATTTACTTTTTGTATCTTAATTTACTGATTTTTTTTAACAACCTTCCATGTTTTCTTAAGAAAATGAAAGTATTTTTATTGTATTTATATGTTGTATCCCATCTTTCAGAGGTGTTTTGAAGGTCAGGTTAACAGTAAAGCAGTTTATTACAAAAGCTTCAATTTGGGTTTTACAGTATTAGCCAGCAGAATAATCTAAATAAGCAAGTAACGCTGCCTTGTTAAGGTTTAAGTCCATATTCCTTGACATTTAAATTATGGTATTACTTTAGGAGGTATTTCATAACTTAACAGTTTCAAGTCAACAGTTGAGTGTTTGCAAATTTTCATGGCTCTAGGAACGTTTTTACTGTTTTGACATATTTGGTAAGTCAAACAGTTTAGGGATATTAGAGCAGTGATGTATTGCTGTGTTATTGATGTTTGGTGACTCAAACATAACTGAAATCTTAAATTGCATTCAATCATTATTCATTAATAAAGAATCTAAATGTTAGCCTATTTCTGTAAAATGTATAAAGAGCTATTTTCTATACAAAATTATTCTTATACAAGAGAAACACATTTGTAAAAGAAATTATGTCCTCTGTTTAAATGTTTGTGCAATGAATTCTGAGTGTCAGATTTTTTTTTCTTGTAGTAATTCTTTGTTTTGAAATCTTTGTGGCTAGGGTTGTGCTGGCTGTACAAGCAGTAAAATTAAGTTGGGGTTGTGCATGCTGGAGGTAGGTACATTTCTCACTAGGACTTCTAGCCTTGTGTATCCTCATTTGCTCATATGTTTCTAAGCCCATCTCTGTTACTACCAGTCACCTTAATAGAAAATTCTTTCTGTTACAGCTGGGTTTTTTTTAAATATCTCTTCTGATAGTGATTAATCTGGATTGAATGTTGAATCAGAAAAAAAGTGTAGTAAATGCTAGTGAGTAGGACAGCAGAAGAGGTTAAGCTCCTAAGCTCTGAGCATTTGAAGCAGGTTGCCTGTAGACCTGCCAACTCTTACATGCTTATTGTTACTACAGTTTAACCCCTCCTGGCATCTAGGGAACACACAGCCCCTTGCTCACTCTTCCCTGGTCAATGGGGGGAGAGAATCAGAAGAGTAAAAGTGGGAAAACTCATGGGTTGAGGTAAAGACAGTTTCATAGGTAAAACAAAATCCATGCACGCAAGCAAATCAAAATAAGGAATAAGTCCTTTACCACTTCCCATGGGCAGTGGATGTCTGGAGAGCAGAGCTCCATCATGGTTACTTGGGAAGACAAATGCCATCAGTCCCCCCCCCCCCTCCCTTCCTTGTTCCCTCTCAGCTTTATATGCTAAGCATGACACCACCTGGTACAGAATATCCCTTTGGTCAGTTGGAGTCAGCTGTCCTGGTTGTGTCCCCTCCCAGCTTTCCGTGAACCCACAGCCTTTTCCCTAGTGGGGTGGAAGGCAGAAAAGACCTTGACTCTGCACAAACTGCTCAGCAGTATCGAAAAATCCCTGTGTTATCAAAACTGTCTTCAGCACAAATCCAAACCACAGACCCATACTAGCTTCTGTGAAGAAAATGAACTCCATCCCAGTTAAAATTAGCACAATGCATAAGGCTCTGAGTTCTGGGTTTCTTTGGGATGATCAAGGAACTGACTCTTATGCACTGCTCTTAAAAATCATGGTTTTCTTATGAAGTGCAACCACCTGTAAGGCCCATTTATTTATGTATGTTGTATTTATATACATGTTTATCAACTGCTGTTGCATGTGGCAAAAGACATGCACCACAGAAGCTTTATATTTGAAATTACTATGATAAATGCAGGTGATGTGAACATTTTTTGCCAACTATTTAAACTTGTTTTTAAGGGTTCAGAATGATGTATAAATAGAAAAATATCTTAACTGAAATGGGAGAACAAAATTAGTACCTTTGATTTCATGACACGTGAAGAAACATCAAAATAAAATTTCTGCTTTCCTAGAAAGAGCAGTTGAAGAAATGTTACCCAGGATGAAACCTGCATCATCATGTCTTTACTCAGCCTCCTAAAACAAATACAGATACGTAATTAAGTGCACTTAAATGGTTTAACAGCTGACTAGGGAGCTTTCTCAGTTATTAAGTAGAAAAGCACAAAATTGCTGAGAGCAATGATGAATCAGACCTTTTTTTTTTTTTCAGTTTAACTAGTTTTTGTGCTAGTTGTAATTCATGTGAAACCCCTTAATGTGCTAGTACAAGTCGTATATAAATAAATATTTCCTATATATATATAATAATAGAAAATACAGCCTTTACAACAAAAGTACTCATTAACTATAAAGCTGTTTTAGCTTCCATAGAGCAGTACTACCTCCATTTTACAGAAAAATAACAAAGCAGAAGGGGATGTGTTTTTTACTGAAGTACAGTCATACCCCAGCAGAAACAGAGGACTGGAAGAATGCTGTTGTGCATGATCTTCACATCGTCTGTGATCTCGAGGGATGGAGATTAGCTTTTCCCATTAGAGGAGAACACATCTGGCCTTGCACTACTTTATACCATGTGCACAGTTTAAAGTATTTAGATTATCTGCTCTTACCTTACAAAATACTGTATAATTAGCAACTAAAGAAAATACTTGAACTGTTCTTGAAGCACTCCTAAACTGAGTGGGTTTTTTAGTAGTCAGTCTAGAACATAGTCTGTATACGAAGGAGAAGGACCTGAAGTGCTTGACCAGTGCCTGTCAGAATGCTCTGAGGAACAGGAATGACTGCCTAGAACTCCCCAACAAGAGTTTTGTCTACATATTCACACAGGCTTTACTACCTTTTTGTTTTGTTCATTAATCACTTATGACCTCGAAATGTCTTAGATGAAATCAGGATTTGTAAGTCTGTAACCATTCCCTAATGAATCTAACATATTTTTTAATACTATGATTCACAAGCAGAAGGAGAGTAATTCAGGGATAATGTCATAATCGACAGAGCCACTAGATAGCGTATGGACACCACATATCAGTTCCCTGTGGCATGTAACAGAGTGGTTCAACAACCTGGATTTCTCTAAACTGTCACTAGTATTCTGATTACAGGAAAGGTTTCCTCATCTCTTCCAACACCATATTGACAGTATGATGCTCACATTTTTATTAGTTTTTACCTGTCATAAAAATTGACTACAGCTAGGACTCGTTACTGGTAATTAAATTTCATTGTTTAGGGAAACCAAATTGACTTGAAGTGATAGTAAAGGAACCTCCATTGTAATATTGTCAGTAAAAATAATTGTGTAATAGGAAGCTTTCTAATATATGTACCAGGCTTGGCCTGACTTCTTAACCATTTCTAGTTGACCTGTGAGAGGGGCCATGAGGTATCTACAGCGGTCTCAACCAACATTAAAGGATTATGGAGGGTTTCAGGAGGACCTGAAGTCTTACTGCTTTTGTATTAGGTGTCAGTAAGAGCTTCTGTCACTTCTTACGAGGCATAGGTTCAATATGGTCTGATCTGCCATTTTTGTTTAAGGTGAAGTTTATTGCTTTTTTCTTCCTCTTCCCCATTAAGGTCTCTCTGTCTGTCCGTTGCACCTTGAAATAGCTGCATAGTGTCCTAAGTTTTTAGTAAACAAAGTAAGGCAAGGATCATTGCATACCTTAGTCTGGATTATTTATTATCACAAGGAATTTGTGTTCGAAACACTTCATTAGTGCAGTTCCTCAGTCCACATTAATGGAGATTCGTTTTAAGGGCAGTTATTAATGCCTTACAGAAAGTTTATCTGAAGTTACATTTTCTCTATGATAAATTCTGAACAGCAGCCTAAATCTTAAGTACATGCTGTAATTGTCACAACGTCCCTCTGCTGAACAGCAGCTTTGCATGTAGGTAGAGGGCAGTGTAACATATGACTCAAAGTCTGCTGCCAGATATGACATTTTACAAGGAATCAGCACTGCAGCAAACATAGTGTCATCTTCTGCCACTTGATCCAAGTGACTGACAGCACTAGATTTCAAGAAGACAGATGTCAATAAACTCAGAGAATTGGTAGGGAAGATCTCGTAAGAGGCAAATCTAACGGTAAAACAGATTATGGAGAGCTGTCAATTCATTCAAGAAATGCTAATAAGAAACCAAGTGCAACCTATGGCATTTTAGGGGAAAGTAAGGAACTTTGGCAGAAGTCAGCTAATTCACGACCTTTTGATTTACCTGAAGCAGAAGAGAGATATCTGTAAAGCAGAAACTAGGACAGCTGGATGAGAACCCAGCGCAATACTCCATTCATGACAGAGTGTGTGTGTGTGTGTGTGTGGAGTTTACAGAGTTAGTAAAGACAAAATGCACTGGATTCCACCAGCAAAATTTACCAAAATAAAAGAAATTTAACAGGTAAGGTGTTAAGAGAAAAAGGGAAGTTTGGAGCAATAATGAGATAGGGGTGTGCTATCAGCAGAGAATGTTAAAGAAGTGTTTAATGAGAGAAGAGTTTAATGAGGAAGGGTTTAATGCCCTTTTTCTCTCTTTTTCATCAATCTTTACTAAAAAGGTCAACAGCAACCACACAGTGCAATTATTTAGATGGTAAAAATTCAGCCTAAAATATGCAAAACTTACTTAGAGAGTAACCAGTTATGTTAGATGTCTTGCCGAGCCTGAGCCTGAGCAACTTCGCTCTAAGAGTCTTAAAAGGAGGTTGAAGTACTAGCTGCAGATGTCACATAGCTTGAATTTATTTATTTAATTTAATTTTTGCAAGGCCTTTAGCAGTACTTCCTATAATATAGCCTTATGAACTGGCTAGTGAACTGTGATCTAAATGCAACTGCTGTGGGAAGGGGCAGCAGGTCAAGTCTAGTTGGATAATTGTATCCACAGGGTAATTCCATCAAAACCTATCAAAATATGTGTGTTTTGCAAGGCATTCTGTGGGCCTTGGTCTCGGATCAAGTTTCATTTTATGTTTTCAGTGACGGCATAGAAGATGGAATATGAAGCGCGAGCCTTGCAGATGGAGAAAGGAAGGACTGCAGATGTTATAGATGATAAAAAGGTTAGAATTTAAGATGATCTTGATATATTTAGAGAAGTCATCTAAAATGGATGGAATACAACAGTACAAAATGCTTACACAGAAATACTCATCTGTATTTGCAAAACTGTGTAAGTACGAGTTCACAAGAGAAAAGATCGGGTACTATGGTGGAATAAGCATGAATGGCAAAGCCACTGGGACGTCTCAAGGGTCTTAAAGACTATTGAAAGAGCCCATGTGGGCCAATCCCCACAGTCTAAGATTCACTTGGAAGACCATGACCTGTTCAGTGCACTGTACTTCAAGAAAGAGAGGAAAGAATTGGCAGAATGGGCAAAAATTGACAGAAGTCCAGAAAACATGAGGGAAAAGTGTGAGAAATGTGGGTTTTTTTTCCTGAAGAAGTAATAACCAAGAAGAAGGAAGGTTAATAATCTTCATCTAAAAAGCTGTTGCAAAGGAACTAATATGTCCTTGGTGGAAAGATCAGGAACAATAAAACATGAAGAAGCATAAACCAAACAGCTTGGGAGATTTAGATTAGTCATTGGACAAAACTTCAATATCAGTGATAGCTTGGGATGACATGATTGCAG